CGGCCAAGGTTGAGAAGCACTGCTGTAGAGAGTTCGCCCCAAGACATAGAGAGAGACTCCTTTTAATTCAGACTCTGTTGCCTCTCTCAGCTCCATCATTCTGGCCATGGCTCATAACACCCTGCAGAATATGAGGGAGATGAAGCTAGATAAAGCCCCAATGTTAGTTGGGAATTTTCGGACGCTCATTTGGGAAGATACTACATTGAATGGGGCTGAGCAAGACACAACAAAGGGAGAGTGCCTTTCCCCAGGAACAGAGCCATCAGATTCTAACCCACCGGGCACGCCCGCTTGCCATGCCCATGCTGCGGGAGTTTGTCCAACACCCAACCCAACACCCTTGGCCAAGGTGGTCTTGCTTCGACCTCAGACCGCTCTAGATTGTCCACGGCGACTCATCCCTTCTCAGAGATGCTCTCTGTTCCTTCCCTCACCTCGGCAGGCAGCACCATCACGCCCAACTACATCGATAACTCGACCTCCAACATCGCGCCCTGGTGCACCTGCCACGCCAGCGGGAACCGGCAGCAAGAATGCGAGCATTTCCTGCACCTGTTCACCGAGAATCTCTGTCTCCGTAAGTGCTGCACGGGCCTCATTGGACTCTTGGGCAAGGATGCTGCCTTGGGGGGATTGGAGTGGGGAAGGGGCGCCACTGCATCCCCCCCCCCCCCCCCCCCCTTCTATTAAGCAGTGCTGTCTGATGCGGTCTGGAAGGGCCCCTTCTCTCGTGTGGCACCTGCCCGCTGGATTCAGATGGCCCTGGCCCTCTTGGCCTTCCGAAGGGCAGGGAAGACCGGGCTGTTCCCGTGGGTGCTGGGCCGGGGGGCTGACTGAGCCCTTCTCAGAGGGGCCATGAAATACAGGGCTTGGCGTCCTCGACTGCCAGTCAGTTCTGGTTTTGATATGCTTTGTGTTATGATGATTTCAAAAAATGTTTCTAAGCCACCCAGAGGTGTTTTGTGAGTTGGGTGGCCATTCAAGGGGAAGGAAGGAAAGGAGGGAGGGAGGGAGGGAAGGAAGAAGGAGGGAGAAGGAGGGAGAAGGAGGGAAAAGAAGGGAAGGAAGGAAGGAAGGAAGGAAGGAAGGAAGGAAGGAAGGAAGGAAGGA